GAAATGAAATTTCGTTTTTATTTTTTTAGACAAGTTTGGCTTTTTTTTGTGCGAGTGATTTTTAATTCTATTCTAATAAATTCAAAACTTGAGACGGTAAATTCAAACCTCTTAAATTTTCATTGACCACCGTAAGGTTCAGAAATTGTTTTCTGCTGCGGTTTCACTTCCTTGCGACAAAATATTAGAAAAAAAGAGCCTCCAGATGAAAAAAATATAAGGGAATCGAACTATTTTAAAAGGTCGAACCCAAAAACCATTCAGGGGAAAAAGGAGCCGCAACAGCTTATGAAGCATCTGGGCGAACGCTGATAAAAATGAGAGGGCGTGAGCCCCTCCGATAAATCGATCACGGATTTCTGTTGACGTCCACAACTGTGGGCAGGCCTGGTTTTAAAATTGCCAGTTTTTCTTTTATTTTTTTATTTTTCAGTCGAAGTTTATGCAAGTAGGCGAAACACTGTACGGAGAAGAAAGGCGCTAGCTTCAATAAATGAGTTCCTTAAAGAAAACCCGTCATCAGCAGTTTAAAGGTTATTTCACCAATTCTAGTCTGTTTTGTTATGGGATGCTGTTTGAAACTAATAATAATAATAATAACATGCCATCAACACTATCAGTTTTGTAGTTGACCTCGTATCCGATCATTTTGGTCTGCTTACCAAATTTTCTATTCTGCTGTATGAAAACAACGAATACGTTTAAATTATAAGCAATTCTGTATTCAAACTCCAGTCGCATTTTTTTCTGGATAAATACGCATAGATACACTTAGGAGATTTCCACGATTTATCCTACCAGAGCCCATGGCACATAGAAGCAACGATAAGACGTGTCTCAACCTCTATTTTCACAAGGGATTCATGATGTAATGAGAAAAAATATTTATGTTGTTAGCCAAAATTGCTCTTATTTTGAGCTTTTTTAAACATAGGCCCTTTCTCAGAAATGTATGGCGTGAAGCGAAGCACGTCCCACCAAGGACAAACGGGTAGAATGGGCTATCACGATAGATTAACAGTCCAGAACAAACTGATGATAATTCATTAAATTATGTAATTGCCAAATAAAGTATTATACTAAGTGATATAGTATTGTGTAATTATTACTACAAAACGAGAGATTAGTTTTTTTTTTATAGCAACAGGTACAAAAAAGAACGTAAGCTGTTTATCATCATCAGAATTATACAAACTATAATACACTAAATTTATGAATCAACAGAACGATTTCATAAAATGGTTTCTACCAATAACCAGCCTAACAGTGTTGCACCAACATACAAACCAATATACAACAGATATCCCAAGTCAATTAGTTACCTAAAAGCCAGTATCTAGTAAAAATACAAAAATAGCACAAGTAAATTATTTACCTATAAACTAACGTCTTGTAAGAGATCATAGATATCAAAAATCAATCAACTATCTTAAGACCAGATATGTACCTTAAGCCTTATTACCTAGTATGATTGAAATCGATACCCGAAAGTCCAATATCTATGAATTTAACAATGCAAAAATATCACGAGTCAATTAACTACCGAAGAGATTAACTAGTGACTGTGCAAAGATATCACAAGTCAATTAACCAATGTATGCCTAAATATCTTGTAACAACACAGAGATATCATCAATCAGGGGTTGCCTGAAAGCCAATAACTTGTGATAGTACAAAGATCTCATAGGTCAACCTACTCGGGGACCAATAAGTTCTGGCAGAAATAATGAGTCAATAATTGATCTTGGTACTTTTATAAGAAATAATTATTATTTACTTGAACACCAATTTCTTATAACAATACCAAGATTAATTACCAAGATACAAGTCAATTAACTACCTTAAGACTTTTTTTTACGAGGGTTTGCAACAGCAGAAGTCATATAAACCCTCAGAGTGCCGGTGTTTTTGAAAAAAAAAGCCCATTTGTAAGTATGTCGGGTACTAATGCAGGACCGCTGGATTCGAACCCGGGACCTTTAACTTATAGTGATGAGCGCCGTGTCAACGTCTAAACCGTTGTGGCCAACGACGCCCCCTATCCTTAAGACCATTATGATTACCAATCTAAAAGTACAAGATATAATATCTTTACGAGCAAAAAGATGTCACAAGTCGATGAGTTCCAGTGTCTTGTGATACTACAAAGGTATCATAAGTCAATTAACGACTCGAAGGCCAATAGCACGTGACAGTGATATCACGATATATACCTGAAAACAAATTTCTTCTAACAATACAAAATGACGTAAGTCAAATAACTGCCTTAAGAACAATATGATTAATTCCTTAAAGACCAAGATCCGACATATCTAACTGTGCAAAGGTGTCAGGATTAAATATGTGCCAATATCTTGTGATAGTAAAATGAAATGACAAGCCAATGATCTACTAGACGGCCAATAACACGTGACATTACTAAAACAAGTCAATTATTTACCTGAATACAAATTTCTTCTAATAGAACAAAGATATCACAATTCAATTAACTAACTGAAAGACAAAGATCTTTAACAGTGCAAATATGTCAGGAGTATATATGTGTCAGTACATGTGATAGTAAAATGAAATCCACAATGCCACAATGATCTACTGGTAGGATAATATCACGTGACATTCTAAATATAAAACAGGTCAATTATATACCTGAACACGAATTTGTTCTAATAGTACAAAGACATTAAAGTCAATTAACTGCCTGAAAGACCAAGATCCACCATCTTTAACAGTTCAAAGATATCACGAGTCAATTAGTTCCAGTATCTTGTGATAGTAAAATAAACTATTGGAAGGCCAATATCACGTGACATTACTAAAATATAACAAGTCAATTATTTACCTGAACACAAATTTGTTCTAATAGTACAAAGACATTAAAGTCAATTAAATGCCTGAAAGACCAAGATCCACCATCTTTAACAGTTCAAAGATATCACGAGTCAATTAGTTCCAGTATCTTGTGATAGTAAAATAAACTATTGGAAGGCTAATATCGTGTGACATTACTAAAATATAACAAGTCAATTATTTACCTGAATACAAATTTCTTCTAATAATATAAAGATATCACAAGTCAATTAACTACCTGAAAGACCAAGGTCTTTAATATGACAAATATGTCAGGAGTAACTGTGCCAGTATTTTCTTATAGTAAAATGAAATCACAATTCAATGAACTACTTGATGGCCAATATCACGTTGCATTCCAAAAATATAACACGTCAATTATTTGCCTGAACACAAATTTGTTCTAATAGTACAAAGATATTACAAGTCAATTAACTGCCTGAAGAACAAAGATCTTTAACAGGACAAATATGTCAGGAGTAAATATGTACCACTATTTTGTGATAGTAAAATGCAATAATAATTCAATGAACTACCAGACGGCCAATATCACATGGCATTTCAAAAATATAACAAGTCAATTATTTACCTGAATACAAATTTCTTCTACTAATGTAAAGATATCACAAGTCAATTAACTACCTGAAAGACCAAGATCTTTAATAGGACAAATATGTCAGGAGTAAATATGTGCGAGTATTTTGTAATAGTAAAATGAGATCACAATTCACTGAACTACTAGACGGCCAATATCACGTGGCATTTCAAAAATATAACACGTCAATTATTTGCCTGAATATAAATTTCTTCTACTAATGTAAAGATATCACAAGTCAATTAACTGCCTGAATGAGCAAGATCCACCATCTTTAACAGTTCAACGATATCACGAGTCAATTAGTTCCAGTATCTTGTGATAGTAAAATTAAATAACAATTCAATAAACTATTGGAAGGCCAATATCACGTGACATTATTAAAATATAACAAGTCAATTATTTACCTGAACACAAATTTCTTTTAATAGAACAAAGATAAAACGAGTCAATTAACTGCCTGAAAGACCCAGAACTAACATCTTTAACAGTGCAAAGATATCACTAGTCAATTAGTCCCAGTATCTTGTGATAGTAAAATGAAATCACAATTCAATAAACTACTGGAAGGCCAATATACCTAAAAAAGGCCAATTATAATATAGGACATTACTAAAATATAAGACAATTATTTACCTGAATACCAATTTCTTCTAACTGCACAAAGATATCACAAGTGAACAATCAAAAGGCCAGTGGTTAGCATGAGAGACTCTCACGCCGCGGTCGTGGGTTCGATTCCCACCGTCGCCTCTGGTCCTTTTTTCCCGATAACCCCCAATTTGAACACACAAGAATTCGTACCATGGCTAATATGCAAGATCATAAGGCAAAAAAAAAAAGAAAAAAAAAGGCCAATAAGCATGTGGCAGTGCAAAGACATTACAAAACAATTAACTGACTTAAGACCAAATATGATTAACTATTCGAAAGCCCAATATATAACCAATCGGTAGTTACCTAACGTCCAATATCTTGTGACAGTACAATGATGTCACAATTCAATTAGCAATGATGCAATGATAGACTTTTTTAAAATAAGAAAATATTTAAAAAAACAGGCAGAAACCGTGAAATTTATCTCATGGTGAAAAAATAAAACGTCTTGCTGGAGTGAGCAATCTTCAAACTTGTTAATTCTTTAGTATTCATGGTATATAATAATATGAATTAAAAAAAGATTTATTTGATCAATTTTTGCACTAAACTATTTAAATTAATAATAAATAACAAAATGTAAATTTATAAGGAAATATAACAATACCAAATGCATTTTTGTCAGTCAAATCATCTCCAAAATAAACTGAGTATTGTAACGCCGAGAGCAGTTCGTCAACTTTGAATTGGTCAAAAAGCCCCAATTTGATAATGGAAGGATTGAGAAAAAACATATTTTAAAAAATTGATTACACTCGTGCCCTTGTGTGTAAACGCTGTCAATAATGACGTCTATTAATAGCCCCTACAGAGAAGGATGTGATAAGCAAATTGTCACTTTTTGTTTCTATCAGCGTGTAGTACAATACAATAATAAATTTAAGTACTTTAAATATCGAACCTTTCCGTTAGCATCCTTCAAGGAATTTACCTGAAACAATAGAAAAAATGAAGATAAGTACAAAGGCACACGAATCAAATATAAGCTGGAAAAATCAAAACGAAATTTCAATTATAACATGTATACACAGTATGTAAATAAATTATAAGTTTAATAAAAAATATCCTATTCCTATCTTAACTATCCATTTTTTAGCTTTTTTTCGGCTTATCCGAGTATTCGACTCTACCATACACCAAATTTTCGTCGACATCATCATTGCCGCACTGCGTCACTAGGGATATCTTTTTTTTTCTTTTTCAAAAAAGGTGTGGCGATTGGGCTCAGTTTGGAATGTGAGACGCGATAATACTTCGGAACGCTTGGAACGTTTTGTTATAAGGAATGTGATTCATTCTAGAGAAAGAGAATGAGAAAACCGTTCCGGTTCGATTCGGATTCGGTTATTTTTAACGGAGTACACATACAAAAAGATAAATTCCTTCCATTTTCCATATTAAAACAAAGCGTTATTTCACCTGTTTATACAATTACATCGATAAGGAGGATTCAAAAGGTATAGATTTTGAGCAAGTCTGTGCAACCAGAACTTCATGCAAGAAGTTGTAATGCGTTAAAATGCTTCAACTCCGTGACTTGCGAGAGAAAACCCATCGCAAAAGGCTTTTAAACGTTTTGGTCTGACGAGTGGCTTTCAGACGTTTTCTCGGATGAAAAACAATTCAATCTGGAGGGACCAGATGGTTGGGCTTAATGCTAGATTAAGGAAAGAAAAACTGATTTACAGCGCTAACAGGAAGGCTCATTTACGAATAGAAGAGCTTTCTTTGAATGGGTTAATAGTCCTCTAAGACTTTTCTTAGCTGAATTTTTGGCAGAACAGGGTTTTCCGGCAAGACAATACCACCAACTAAAAATAAAACGGTCAAATAAGCTTGCGGTGAGACGTAAGGGAGAGTCTTGAATGATGCCAAGAGCTATGATCTCTGTTACATAATAAAATGACATAAATGCATAGATCAAAACTGAGCATCGGCGAGTCGTTTTGCGCTGAATAACGTGCTTAGATTTAGGGATGAGCATCGATAAAAAAACCATCGATGGTCACCATCGATTAAACATCGGAACCTCACCATCGATGGTGGTACGACCACCATGGTCTACACATCGATGGTTTTTTGAGTGTTCATTACTCAAAACACAAATTATTTTCATACGCATACATTATTTTTATGTGCCATTTTAGAAATATAAGCTAATTTTTCAAATTTCGCCATTTTCAAACCTTTATTAGGAACTTAATTAATAAATTATTTTATCTTTTTAATAACATTTATTAGGAATTATTTTTGCCTTTGGTTTCATTTAAATCTGCATATAGATATCTCGGTCCCTTTTAAATAAAAGACGTCTATTGTTAAAGTATTTTGTGCCTGTGAATTTTATTCAAAATACCTCGCTGTTTTTCTTCGATACTTTGGAAAACTTTCAATTAATTAATTTGTATTTGAAGTATTGGTTGAGATAAACAAGTCAGTGTCACAAGTGGGATTCGAACCCACGACCTTCGGCTAAATACGCCGCTGCTCTACCACTTGAGCTATCGTGACTTCGATCCACTCGGACACTAACTTTCCATCTCAACCTCACCTTTTGAATTTTCCCTCCTTTTTGCCAATTCATTTGTCGCCGAGAATCAAATAGATTACACGAAATTTGAAAAATGGCAAAAAGAGGGAAAATTCAAAAGGTGATGAGAAGTTAGTGTCCGAGTGGATCGAAGTCACGATAGCTCAAGTGGTAGAGCAGCGGCGTATTTAGCCGAAGGTCGAGGGTTCGAATCCCGCTTGTGACACTGACTTTTTTTTTATCTCAACCAATACTGCAAATACAGATTAATGAATTGAAAGACATTATTTGGTCAAGCGGACCACGAAAACTAGTGAACTTTGGAAAATTCCAATAAACCACCCAAGCCAATTCCTGTCCTTTGCTCAAACAAAGGTAAAGGTTTAACATGTACTTAACTAAAATCAACCATATTCTTAATTTATTAGAATTAATGTATCCAAATTTTACAAAGAAACACTACCACATCTTGTCCGGAACGCAATTAAAAAACGTAGATTTAAAGCCAATTTATACTCTAAGCGATTTCTGGTTTTCCAAATAATCTGTCGATCTTTGGAAAATAATCGTTCATAGGGAACAGATGTGCCACTAAGGCAACAAATTGAACAACTGAAGGTTCTGATAAGACACTTGCATATCAGAAGAATATTTTCTATTCACAAAAATGAAAATTTGAAAAAACTGAAACATTTTATAAAACATCGACAGCCCACCATCGATGGTCAAAAAACATCGCCACAGTAACATCGATGTTGAACATCGGTCGCCTACCATCGATGCTCATCCCTACTTAGATTCCAAGCATTGCCTCGTGTTTCAAACACAGTGGCGAAGCACAAAATGAAAGTTGGGTGAGATAAGGTCATCACAAAGATCTCCGATACCGGACGATCAACAAGAACATACAGTTCCAATAGCTCGTTGGACGAGACCTATATTGGCCACCATAAAACGAAAGCAACTACCACTCAGCCTCGTGCAGAGAATACAGGCTACAGAAGAAGGTAATGAATGCGAGGGAGATTTAAATGAAGATCGAGACTGAAACGGTTGGATGGCTTGGACCTGAGGCGGATGTGAGAGATACGATGGGGAAAAGGAAGGCGGAAGATAGGAATGACTATCTATTATTAGTCAGGCCTAGGATGAACTAGGGTAGCGCCAGTTGGCAAGATAACGGTCCCCTTTTGTTTAACAAGGCCATGGTTATCTGAATACATGATTTTCGAGTCGATATTAGCAGTTATGTTCTGTTAAAAGTGGCCCTTTTTCTCGCCTGTTTCAGTCCTGACTATCTCAACCAAAATCGAAGGCAGAAGCTGAAACTAGCGAAGTTAGCAAGACCAAAACGTTGGGAAGGAGTAACTACAGGTTCCGGTAGACTGCAGGCATACGTTAGGAATAAGACCTTGGTTCAGATTGCACTCCAGGACAGAGGCATGCGACTAGAAACTTTGGCCGTCCTGACTAATGGCTGGAGGCTTATGTATAATTCTCACGAAAAACAACGATGCTATTGTGTATCTAAATTAGGGAAAAAGCAAGTTAGGACTATGATCGAGAAAGGAACTGGGTTAACAGCATAGTACTTGAAAAATAACAGAAGGTATGGGCCAAGTGAATTTGGCCTAAATCTTAACTTATACCTTTTAGAGCACTGGGACTTTCTTAGTTATGACGGCGACCCGAATCGAAAGTTACCCTGTTAAATATTGACGTATTTTTTATTATACTTTGATATTTTCATTGCACGGATCGGTCGAAAGGGGGCCGAAAAAGCAGCCGACGTCGCCCCTCGGGTTTTCATAAGTGCCCGTCGTTATCTCAATCTAACGCCCTGTCACATGCTTTCCTATTTAGAGAAAGGGGTTGTTTGTCTGTTTATCAAATGAGTTAAACAAGGGCGTCTCCGGGTCCCAGGGCTTGCTTTTACTTCCCAGAACAAGGATAAACCCAAGGGAGAAGATTAAAATAAATGCCTCGACGTTTCTCAAGGTGCGTTTCCCTCCTTGGTGTCAATTGTTTACACGATAACCCACGCTTGTTAAGTCTTAACAACCAATACAAATGGGAAAATTAAAATCCGAGCGACCAAATTTTTAAATCACCGATCGAATATGAAGAGACAGGAATGTCTGACAGAGTAGAACATCGAGGACAAGAGGACCACAATGATAGGATCCATCAACTTACATTAAAGTACGTTTCATAAATGTCCTGTATTGTAAGAAAAAATGAAATCTTAGGCGAAATTGACCTCCTCGTGGGCAAAATTTAATAAATAACGTAGCAACAATCCAATTCCATTGAACAACTTTGTCAAATAATTATTGAAGTGAGCACTATAGACTGATCTAAATTAACTCAAATCTTTTGAGTTGTTCTTGTAAAAAAAGTGGTTATGTTATTTTATTCATATTTGTTTTTACAATTCGCTACTGAAATTAAGAGTTTTTCAATACAAGGTTTGTGCTTACCTTCTCGCAGATGGTTAGTCATGTCAGTTTGTCTTTTCTAATACAATATTTACCATTTTATTTCTAAATAAAGCTTATTTATTTTTTTATTTTTTTACTTTTTTTACGAGGGTTCGCAACAGCAGAGGTCATATAAACCCTCAAGGTGCCGGTGTTTTTGAAAAAAAGCACATTTGTAAGTATGTCGGGTTCGAATGCAGGGCCGCTGGATTCGAACCCAGGACCTTCACCTTACAGTGATGAACGCCGTGTCAACGACTAAACCGTTGCGGCCACCGACGCCCCCCCACTAATAAAGCTTATTATTATTAAAAATAATACAGGGAGTAATTAAAACTTTATAAACCGTACTAAACTTCTAAAATATAGAAGGGCTTTGTGCGGACTCCTTCGAGTAGTCGAAAGACATATTTTTCAACTATTTCGGATTTTTTTGGACAAGGTACACTTATAATCGATTAACGTTCCAGGCCGGATTGATTTAGAGATTAATGACTATCCCCGCCTCGCGGATATGTGGATCGGGGCCGAGGACGTCCGGGGCGGAAGTGCACCTGCAGTCTTTCCAAGGAGGAGGCGACATTCCACTCGAGTTCGGTCACTCACCTTGTTCAACCGCTCCCTCCGAACGTAGAGGGGGCTTTCTCGATAAAAAAACAACTAAAATCCGGGTCAAGGGTGGTTTTAAAATCGCCGTGGAAAAGCACAACGGCAGGCCTACATTCCACACTCTCACACACTAATAATTGTATTTTCATTTAAGAAAATCATCCTTCTCAGGATCGTTAAGACCTCCAGTGACTACTGTAACAAGCCTAGTTTCTCTCTGAAGCTTTCCAGCGGATGAGTATTGCCATTTCAACCTACGCCGTTCACGTTGGGAATTTAAAAAGCTGTTTTGCACCTCCATTACACTAGTTT